TTTTTTTTTTTTTAAACATGCCAGGAATCTAAGTGGTGACCCATTGTTTTCCTACTAATTTAGGTTCATCTTTTGATTATACAAGAAATCCTGTGATCCCAGCACTCTGGGAGGCTGATGCAGGAAGACTGCAACTTCAAGCTGAATCTGGGCAACTTAATGAGACCCTGTCCGAAAATAAAAAAGGCTGGAGATATAACTGAGTGTGGGTTCAACGGGGATGGGATGAGAGAGAGAGGCTGAGGCAAGACCTGTGTATAGAGGTCTCATTTCCAGATTAGTCCACTTGTGTGGTTTATTGCAGCTCAAAAGTTATGACAACACTTTCATGGTGGTTCATAGCTACATCTGCACATTATTTATTGTGAGAAACTTTGAAGTGTTGACTTAAAGAACATTTAGAAGGTTTTGATCACATTTTTATTTTGATCATATAATACTGGGGAAGCTGGGTGTTGTATTTTACTGGTACTGCAATAATGTAGGGTAGTGGTAAAAAAGTGTATACTTCTATTGAAATAAACATTAGAAAAATTGCAGGTAAATTCTATGCTTCTTATGCACTATTAGATTAAATTCTCCAGTGTTGTCACATTACTTAGTATCTATTATAGAACATCCAGGGTCACAAGTCAGAAAGAGTACTTTGAGTACTTTTTCACCATAAGTACAAATTATGTGAAAACTTGGGGGAAAAAAGTCGGCAAATAGAAACAAGTAGAAGAAAGCTGGTATTGGTAACTCTTGGTTATCACTAGATTGTTAGGCACTTTAGTCATGTTGCAAAAATCCTAACTTTCTAGTTGTCTCATTAGAATGAAATGCATGTTACAGATAGCAGTAATTTCACATTGCATCTTTTCTTACTGGCTCTTCTTGGATATCTGATTTCTGGTGACCCTGCATCTACACCCATGGCTATAACTGCTACCCAGACCACCTTTCCAGATGCACTCAGCATTAATGACATGAGGTCACTGCTGAGATTTCCCTTCAGAATCTCCATCCCCAATGCTCAGAGTGAACGTATTACCATTGCTCTACAACCTGTTCCTAATGCACTGTACTATGTATCAAAAGGCAGCACCTCCAACCCACCCCTGCTCACCAATCCCTCACTGTGTCAGAACCCCATTCTGGTCCACCATTACCCCTTTCTGGGCTGTCCTCAAAGGTGACAAGCTCCCCCTGCAAAACCTGTGCCTGACTAATCCCAATCCATTTCTCTAAGTGCTTTCAGAGAGACCCCAGTGTGAGTCTCTCCCTCCTCCTCCAAACCCTTCTTTCAAACCTCTTGCCGTGGCTTACGAGACTGCTGCATGCACCTTACTGTCCCTTGCCTGCCAAGCTTCAGCCATACGGGCCTTTGACAGTGGCTGGAATGACCTCGACTCCTCCTGGATCACAAGCACTATAAGGCGTTACTTGTTAATACAAATCACCACAAGCAAACCATCACACATTCATTCGCTACTTAACAGGGTAGTGAGCAGACAAAAATTTAACAATTTTGCCAGTGTCAAAAGTATAATTATAGACTAACATTATACTTCTATCATGCCATATTTAGAAAGAATGAGCGGCACACTATAGAGCAGCAATGGCGAACCTTTCAGAGCTTTCAATGATAAACATCCTGCTCAGGCACGTGTGTCATAGATTTGCCACCACTGCTTCATTTTTATTTTCACTTTTTTCCCCGGTACCAGGGATTGAACTCAGAACCTTATGCTTTTGAAGCAGGCCTGGTGCCACAGAGCTAAATCCCCAGTCCTTGCCACCATTGCGTTAGTGTGTTCCCATCCGAGAGCCCAGGATCTGTCTGTGTCCAGGTATTTGTGTCCCTTTAGTAAAGTCTTTAGTTCTCTACTGAAGGCTCTAATATACATCACGCTGGACTTCTTCCTGAAATACTTTATTGATAGAGAAGTTACTAGAGTATTTTGTTAAATTTTAGTATCTGTTATCTATCCATCCTGTAAACTCTATTAACGAGTCATATTATGTCGCTTATTTTGTATTCTCAAGACAGGAGATAATATCTGCAAATAATTTTTTAGTTAATGCCATTATTTTAATGAATTAGCTAAAAAATCTAGAAAATGCTATTTGGGTTATCTCTTTAAAGGGAATATTATTTAATAATTTGATCTCTTCGTTACATTGGTTGTACCACGTACACTGGTGGATTAATTCTGGCTATTTTATTTTGTGTTTTCTATTTATCTTACATTCTAGAGATTTTTAAGCCACTTCTGGTGATTTATGGAAGGATTGTTTTAAGAACTTTTTAAAACATATATTTTGTCAACTGTATGCAATACTTAAGAGTAGTGTTTTCCAGACTGTGGGGCAGGACTACTTGGTGGGCCAGATCAGGTTAGTAGGTTGAATCAAGATTTTACAAAGAAGTGAAACAATAAAAATATTCTCATAAATTGGAGAAATCCACAGGGATAACTGCATTAAATTTAGGTAAGTATTATAATCTTTTGCTTTATTCATTTGTAAAACTGTATGTTCATAGAGGTTTATAATGTCTTTTACTTTTGGTCACGGCTCAAAGTTTGGAAAACACTGAACTTTTAGTTAATTGGTAAATCCTCATCCTCTAAACAAAGCACAACACATCACCATATTTTCTGTTGAGCCACACCCCCTCCCACTGCCTCCCGCTCTCAGTTTGAAAAGAATATGGAATCATATTTGTAGGTTCTTTTTTGGTATTTAAAAATTTAAAGTATTCAGCTTATTTAAACTTAACACCAACGTTGACTAATTTCTTTGCTCACCATGGCCACGTGTTCCTTACAGACTCGTTCCGGTTTCACATATCTTCTTTCTGGATTTCGTCCTTTAGTAATTCTTTCATAGTAGGTCTGTGGGTAGTAAACTTTCTGAGTCTCTGAAATGCTGGAAAATCGTTTTTTCTACTCTGGCTGGGTATAGAATTCTAGGCTCTTTAACAATGATTTCCTTGGGTCTGGGGAGCAAGAGGAGGGGAGGTGGGCCATGGACAATTGGGATTTGGGTTGATAGTTAAAGCCCTTACTTAATTTATTTAGAGTTTTAAATTATTTACTTATATATACATTGTGTAATTAAAAAATAGAAAGGACACTTACGTGTAAGGGAGAACTTGGATCAATTCTAAATCTTCTGGGGCTTGGGCTTCGACCAAATTTGCACCCATTGAAATACATGCTCCATGAACAGCCAAAGGAAAATGAAGCTCCACACGTCTCTGGGTCAATTCCTTGACATGTGCAGGTACGACTGTAAGACGGCAATGGCAAGGGAGTCAGCTGAGGAAGTGGGGTAATTCCTCTGCAGAACACTTCCAGGTCATAGAACTTTGGCAGTATACACACAATAGCAAACGAACAACTTAAATGTATCCATTTTATAACTGCAGTTTGCAGGAAAATGTTTGCTAAAGATTTTAAACTCAAATGGCAAAATATACAAATCTAAAATATTTTGATGTAGGGGTAATCCACTTTCTAGATCCCTGTCTGTCTCAGACAGAAGCCATCTTTCCCTCAACAAATATTTCCTACTTTAACAAAACAATAAAATATTTAGATCTAGGGATCAATCACTTTGATTTGAAGATGGCTGAAGCAAAGAAATAATGGCCTAGATTTCTTTCTTTTTTTGAGATAGTGTCTCACTATGTAGTCCAGGGTGGCCTTGAACTTGTTGTGATCTGCCTGCCTCAGCCATCCAAATGCTGGAATTATAGGTAAGCACCACAAGGCCCAGCTTTCTTAAATCCAGGATTTATTCTCTACCAGAAATAAAAATTAGACTACTATTACCTTTTTGCATCTTAGATTCTTTCTGTAAAAAATGAGACTGACACAATTTTCTGATAATTAAGGGAGAATATGACATATTGAATGTAAATCACGGTGAATTTTTTTTTTCTTTTTGGTACCGGGGATTGAACTCAGGTCCTTGCGCTTGCGAGGCAGGCCACCGAACCGCTGAGCTAAATCCCCGGCCCAACAGTGAATTTTAAATAAAGACATTCTGAGTATCAACATGAGAATTTAGCAATAATTTGGTAATTTGGTATATACTTTTGGGTATTTCGGAAGCCCTAAATTAGACTCTATGGTAAACATGACCAAGGATAATACGCGCACACACACACACACATAACCAAGAAAACAGGACACTCTTCTAGTGGTCTTACATTTGCATAATAGTTAAAATGTCTAGTAGAATAAATGTAGCACTTATAAAATGATAAGCAGGGAATGGTGACACATGCCTGTGATCCCAGCACTAGGGAGGCTAAAGCAGGAGGATCACTGTGAGTTCAAGCCAGCCTGATCTAGACCGTCTCAAAATTTTTTATATATCTATATCCTTTTCTCTCTCTATATAAAATGCTAACAATAAAACCTATTAAGACTTTTCTCAAAGTAAGGGAAAATAATGTAAAACTTATAGATTAAAAGTGTTCCTTACACACAAAGTAAAAGAAAAAAGATATCCTATTCCTTATAAGAAAGAAAATAAAGAACAGTTAAGATATAACTATGAAGGGAAAAGAGAAGAGCAGTTCAATTATGCTAACTTTCCCTTAAACCTCTTACAAAGATGGGGTACATTTTTTTTGGTACAGGAGATCAAACTCCAGCCCTTGCGCTTGCGATGCAGGCGCCGAACTACTGAGCTAAATCCCTGGACCTGGGATGGATATTTTGAAGGAGCATAAGATAGCACAGTAACTTGAAATAGATGCAAATGGGTTAAATTAAAACCAAAGCAGTTGAAATTGCACAAGGAAATTAGAATTACCAAGCAAATAGAAAAATATATAAAGAAGAGAAAGACATATTATTATTATTATTTTTTTTGGTACCAGGGATCAAAGTCAGGACCCTTGCTCTTGCGAGGCAGGCAGCAGAACCACTGAGCTAAATCCCCGGCCAGAAAAATATACTTTAACTTACTGTTGACTGCTATTTAAAAAATTAACATAGGACATGTGACAAATTGTGAGACAACACAGCTTCCTCAAACAACTTCATCAAAAAGGAACAAACTGACTTCAGAGAGTTTATGTTCAACTGCCAATAATTTTTTTTTTATTTTGAGACTTGGTCTTACTATGTGTCCCAGGGCTGATCTCAAACTTGGCAGCAATCTTCCTGCGTCAGACCCTTGAGTGCTGGGATTATAGGCAAGCACCACCACGCTTGGCTTAACTGCTAAGAATGCTAAATCTGACTTGAATCAGAAAGAAACAGACAAATCAAAATTGACTAAGAATCAACAAAAATAGCCTTTTCTGGTCAGTAATTTCAATGCCATAAAGGGCAAAGACCAAGATAAATGGATTTGGACAGCAGAAAGACAAAATAATAAAACACATCAAATCCCAGGTTGGGGAAAATTACTATGATGCACATTAGTGGAAACTACATGTTTGAATATAAAATAGAAATTACATAATAGTTTTGTTGTTGTTCTTGTTTTGTTTATTGACACAACATCGTGCTATGTAGCCCAGGCTGGCTTGTAGCTCAAAATCTTCCTTGCTACCTCAGCCTCCTCAACCTGGGAGTAGAGGAATGCACTACCAAGCCTGTGTAGTTTCATTAAATTTAAATTTAATTATTCTTGTAATTACATTGTGGTTATATAAAAGAATGTCTTTATTTTTAGTTAAGTCCACTCTGATGGAATGTTGGGGTTAGAAGGCATAAACACTTTCAAATCAAAGAAGGAAATCAACAATGACACTATGTTTATTGTATATCTACATATGTATATAAATACAAAGGTAATGCTGGATCTAGATAAAATTCACTTTGCTTAGATGTTTTCTCTAATATGAAGTTTTAAAAAATTTGGTAGGGCTGGGGATTTAGCACTGTGCCTACCTCACAGGCACAAGGTCCTGAGTTTGATATCTGCTA